TTACGGTGATATGTAAACTCTCTTGTGCCCAGAAAATGAGGCCTTTTTTCCAAACTGGAAAATGGGGCCTTTTGTCCAACTGAGTTGCCATTCACAGTACAGCACCACTGATTTATCAATGGATTTCATATATTCTGGTGTCCAGATTGAGACCACACATTATTTAACCCGTCTTTATTTAATTATCTCAAAGGCACTTGAGAATCTGGCAGTGCCTCGGGGTCACTGGTTTTCACTGGATAGTATTAAGAGACGCAGGTTTGCTAAGTCTGTCCTGGCCTGGGATGTTCACTCTGGAAAGAGTTTATGTGAATAAGGTTCGACGCGTTTGCTCCTATCTCATTCTGTAGGCTCAAAATGAATGATACTGGGAGATTCATTTTGCTCATCCATAGTTCCTTACACTTTTGGTAGTGGAAATGTTTTACTTTTGTAAAGAAAGTTAAAAATACTAACAGAAAATTAAAGGTAAAACACAGGGTGTATGGATCCCAAGAAAACAGGAGTTTACTGTGGCTAGATGTCAAGCTGACTGCACATAATAATAATTAGTTATTCTAATAACAATCCTTCTTCCAAAGACTGAATTTTTGCTAAGATTTTATATATTATCAGTAGCTTGAGTTTTCCCCCTCTCTCTGACTTTTATTACTAGAATAACCAGAAGGAACATTTAAAACATTTTTTAAACTGCAAGCCACCCAGCATACTCCTCCTATTTCCTCTAGTTTCAAGCATAAGGGGGGACCCAGTTCAGATAAGAATGATCCTTGCTGCACACCTGCCAGCTCTTGCATCCTCCTTTTTATTCCAAGAGGCGCCAGCTCCAATGAAAGTTACAAGGTTAAGTGCGACTCCAGGTTCCTGACACAGCTGCTAATCCCTGCTCCATCTTCAAAACATAGAGGTCATGTAATTTTTGAACATGCCTTCAAAGTGGAGGTCTTTGGCCATGAGCTCCTCTTCGACATCATCTAGTGCCCACTGGTGATCCGTCAGCTCCAGAGCTTCCCACTCTGTCTTGAAAGCTTTGTTGGTGCCTGCGGGCATGGCCATGGCTGCTCCAGTCATCTGCTCCTGCATCGTTCGTGATTGGTCAGCAGCATTATCTTGGCCCAAAATCAGAGAGTAAATGCTCCAAAGCCCAAATACATTAAGGAAGTACCAGGATGCAGAACTCACCCAGGATGCATCTAATGTAAGTAGTTCGATTCCTTGCTGTAGCATAGGCTTAAAACGGAGTGTCAGTGGAAATGGGACTTTGGTTGTGACAAAGCCTGAGAACGTCATGTTGATCCATCCACCAATAAGAATCAGAGGGAGGACATTTGTTACATTCCCTTTCATCATGTCTGTGAGCATAGTGGGATCAGTCATAGGAGAAGGCAGCACTACTTTCCTTTTAGTTTTTTTGAAAAATCCATCCTCTGGGTTGTTGAAATAATATTCTCGTGTCAAGAAAGACTGTTTGGGAATGTATTTTCCATTTTTTCCCTGAGGACTCTGCTTCGAATTAGGACTTGACTGTCAGACACTTGTTCCTGGGTGAGCTTCTTGTCACTCTGCAGCAGGATGGACACGTAGTGGCGGATCATGCCCACGAAGAAAGTGATGATCACGATGGGTAGGACCACCCAGAGCCTTATGTTGGAGTCCAGCAGCAGTTCTGGCCCCGCCATCTTCACTGGAAACCGGCTCCCAGCCCAAAGTAGCCCGATTTCTCTTTCCTGGAGTGCAGGCGCTCCTCTTTGAGTTCGTTTCTGGGTCTTCTCATGCCCCTCAGCCTAGCCGGGCCAGGACTCTGCTCCAGACCCCAGCCTCGCGCACTGCTTCCAGGTGGGCCGCCAGCCACCCACCCATATTTTATTCTTGATACATCCCTCCAAAGGGTCCACTGATCTCATTTACTAGGCGAGGTCAAGTGCCCAGTCTGAAGCTAAGTAACTGCCCAAGTGGGTATAGCCAGAGTGGGGACCCAGGTCTTCTATGTCCACATAGATCACACTACATTATATTATGAAACTGATTTCGTTTAAGAATAAAAATGTGAGTAGATTAGGTATTTCAACAAATATACTAGATGTTGGTCATGTGCCACAAATGCGGTAATATCGAGATACTTAATGAATTTTTGGTGGGTGCACTCCCGCTTTCTCTCTTCCTCCTCTCTGCTTTGCTGTGTTTAATGTAGCCCCAACTGGAAGAACTGATAACAAGAAAGAAAGGAGAGGAAGGTAAGAAAGGTCAGAGGGAGGAACAATTGATTACTATGGGGTACTACTATACCACTGAAAGGACTTTCACATTTGAATAAATCACTGTGTAGAGAATTTTTTAAGTAAAGAAAATGATTCGTTACATAGTTAATCTAATCTTTAGGAAAATAATTATGTTGGATCAGGGGGCTGCAAACACAGAAACCTTTCCCAAACAGATACTGCTGGAGTGTTAAAATTAAACTCTTTCACTCATGCTCCCCACCCATCACTATGACCCTGGGTCCTTTGTGGCTGGGTTTTTTTTTTTTCCCCTAAAGAACAGAAACAGAAAAGAAATTAGACTAGGTAACATGATTCTCTGACCCCCAAACCTCCCCAACACCCCTCGCACTCTGACTCCCTCCATACAGCAGGTCAGGTGGCCTGACACTTGCATTCCCCTGCATGTTTCACTGTCACAATCTTAAGTGGCAACTGACTGTAAGTCATGCTGTAATGACGTTAACTGTGAACAACAGTTGTGTAATAATAATGTGAAGATCACCAGGCTGGGGACTTCTTTGTATCTTTCTAGCTCATCACTACATTTCTGCAGCACATTATAAACACATACATAGATAACTCATAAATACTGGTTGATATTATGAGATAAATTCATTGGAAAAGCATCACATATGATAAAATGAGTCTTTGTTGGAATAAAATTTCTGCCTTTCATCTTTTTCTCCTTTTTTTCTTTCCTTCCCAACCCACACCCAATCCACCTCAAAGGTCACCATCAGTATTTTTAGACTTTGGAGCATTACTTACACTTCCTAAGCCTGGTTTTCTGCTTTTACTCAATTATAATTATACCCATTTTGTTGTGCAGTTTTATAGATTGAATAATGCAGCATATACAAAGCTCTGACACTTGACAAGTGCTTATCATGTTCTGCCTCATTTTCATGTGTGTTGCTATTATTGTGTAAGGTTCCATTATTGCTATTTGTCAAAACTGCTAAGTTCCTAGGTAAAATAACTATATAAAACAGATACAGATGGATATGTATATAAAATGCCCATAACATCAATGACTCATATATAGTTTATTACCTAAAAAGTAGTACAAAGTTAAACTGATATAAATCTTTTGACATCCTTTGGCTTAAAATCTGATACTGAAAAGTAACAGTTTTCTATATTGAATTATAGTTCAGGTTTTTCACAGGGACAGAAAACTGTTGCCCCCAGAGTAGTCAGGTTTCAGTGAAAAATAACTGTTACCACTTCATACACTTTAATCCAGTTTAAAATTTTTTGTTTTCTGTAAATACAAAGCTATTATAAACTTTGGAACTCTAGAGGGTCTCTACTAACATTTTACCCCTGCCATGAAAAACAGAGAATTAAACTGTAATTGTATAACTTATATATAACACCATAAGCACAAACTACTAACAGAATTTTTCAAAGATTAATTCTTAAATATATTTTACCTAAAGGGCTTAAAGAAAATTTTAAGAGTTGGATTCATTTGTTCAGTCAATACTTATTTACCTTTTCCAGAGGTCTGAGCTATATCCTGTAGAAGAAAAATAAAATGATCATGGATCTCAATGATTAAAATGAGATTTTGGAGAAAATTATTTTGTGTTTGACCATTAGTTCCTGTAATTTCATTTCATTGAGGTGTATGTGTTTGATTTCAAGTGTGAGTTTTAAGAAAAATAAATAAGGGCATCTACTGCCTTCCTCCCAGAATGCAAAAGGTGCTGAGCAAAAGCTTAAATTCACTGCTGGATGGTGAAAAGATTTCCATTGTCTATTTCCTCTATTACTACTAAGGGCACCTGTTCATTTTGAGGGGGGAAAAACTCATATGCATAAATTTTCCCTCTTTCCAATTAAATTTCTATCTTTATACTCATAACTCTCTAATTCAAATGTATGGTGGAGAATTCAGTCCAAAAGCCTCAAGCCTGTGAATATTGAATTTGTCAATCCATGATGTACAGGTCATCTCAATTTTCTCTGCTATTTCTCTTTTTTCTACCAACTTCTCATATCACTATTTCAAAAACATACTTTCAAAGGAACTAAACAAAATTAATTCATACAACTCCTACTTCTTGAATATTTATTATTTTCTTCGACCTCTTCAAATCCAAGCATCAGATATAATGGAGAAACATCATAGCATAGGTGGTAGGAAACATATTCTGGGGTGTTTATGAAGCCTGTTTTCAGACAAATTGAGAGAGAAATCATCCATTTTATTCTCAAAATGAATCTCTCTTGTACTACATGGCATGAGGCCAAGCTATGAAATGATGTTTTAATGTTGCCAGCAAGATCAAAGGAACACCTTAATGATATTTGGTCCTGCCTGAATATTATGAGATAGTTTTGAAGACTTACACAAATTGTCCTACAATCTGATGATTGCTTGTATTTCCCCATTAAGATGGAACAAAACAACAGTTATTTCAATAGTTTATGCTAAACCTATAGATAAGAATATGTTTTTACTGCCAAATAGTCATCACCCAAGGCTTGTAATTAACTACATACCTTATGATCAACACATAAGGGTTTAAAATAGTCTCACATAGGAAAAAAGCTATTTTTGAGGACAAAGCATTTAGAAATTAAACAGAAATTATTAAGAAAACAATGTGAAGAGGTGTTATTTTCAGCTAAGACATCTTGTTTTTATAAAGACAGGATAAAACAAGGTTATTTCCTTCAGCAGGGAAATCATTATCTATTATAATAAGACAATAATTTCTTTCCCTTTAGTGTGTTTTAAATTACTGTTGATATACGAGGCACTATACCCGGAGCAGGGGAAAACACAAAGTGAACAAGTGGTGGACGCAGCCTTGAAGGGGGTAAGAGTTCAGCATTCGTTCTCCTGCTTCCTAATTCTTTCTGTTTTACTATGCCAAAGGCCCTGTATTTTTAAACAAGGCATTTTCTTTTCTTTGTTAGTTTACCTAATTGATTATGTGGAAAACCAATGAAAATACTGAATTTACTGTATATCCATTATGATAAACAGAAAAACAGAAAATTAGTTTGGAAAACCAAATGTCGTATTAATATATAGTAATAAATGTTCCTTTTACAGACTCACATAAAGGCACACTCTATGTTCTCGACACACATGCACACTAAAAGTTTGAGAATCACTGCTCCAATCTAGTCCCTTAAACATTAAATTGATGTTTCATAAAAATGAGACTTCCATACTACTATTTCAATCCTGTTTACTTTGACAGACAGTGTCTGCAAGGAGACTTACAAGTAGGTAAAATTCGTCTTTCTGTGGCTTTTCAGCATCCTGACACCCCTTCCACTTCCCTTCTTCCCAAGCAATCATTTTGCTGAGATTTTTGTTTTGCTGTATTTTCACTTTAATATCTCTTGAGAGAGTAAGATTTGGAGTACATGTTCTTGGGCTGAGTTAGCAGTTCCTAGCTAGAATACAATTTCTGTTAAATCTTCACCCCATTACCTTTAAATAGCTTAACAATGTCATTAATTACTGTAAGTCAAAGCTGAAGATTTTTAAAGAAATTGTAATACTTATACTTAATGGATGTTTCAGGTTAGAAATACTCATGTGTCCTTTATAAATACTTGTAATTTTTTACACTTGTCGTAATAGAATAATATATGGCTTAAATTTGGACATTGAAAAATAGAAGACAACTCTGAAAATTGAAATGAGTTTCCTAAAAGCCTTTTTTGTTCACTAGGACCCTTCACATAGAAGCATTTAGGTGAAGGACAAAAACTCATCTAAAGATACAAATAATTTTTAACTTATATGAAGCAGAAGTTATTAAATTTCTACATCATCATGAGTTGCTATTCCATACCTTTTATCTAAATACAAAGATTAATTATATCAATATACAGAAGTGCATAGTTTCGTTCTTTTTTCTTCTTTTTAATGATTCCTGTAGGTATTTAATTTACAGGTAGATGCTTCCATTTGTATCTGAAGCTGGGTTTCTGATAAAAATATTTCATATTGTCTCAGGGCTTCTCAGAGGTTTGCAGAAGTCTGAGCCTCTTCCATTTTTTGAGATTCTCGGTATTTATGTAAGCAGTAATAATAGAAGTGCCAAAGGTGGTTACAAAAACTGTGATATATCCCCAAAATTTAAACTAACCCTAACCCATCTATCATATTAAAAAGTATTGCATACGCTCATTTGGAGATATCTAAATTTGAGGTGCTTCACAAATGTGAGACCCTGGAACAGATGGCCTCTCCACTTCTACCTGGGCACTACCACAGGTTTTTTGTTATCTATAACTAGTGTTAGACTAAATTGGAATATCTGAATATTCACTGGCCTTAATGTCCCTGCATTAGGGAAAGCAGAGAGGATGGGGCAGGAACTACACTGGGCAGTGGTTGACTGCCTGTCAGTCGTCTTCTTACCTCTCTGCTGGGCAAGTAGCCCAGGAATGAAAGGAAATATAGGTAACCTATCACTCTGCTATGACACTGGCTTAAATGTCATATGTGCTCAAACGGGAATTTCTGCAATAGAGCTACAAGATTTGACTATCCCTTGGGAAAAGATGGCATAGGCCTAAGCTGTTTGTACTTCCAGGTGGAGGGTTGGAAGTAGCAGTAGCTAGTGAAGACAGCAACTCTCCACAAAGTAATGGGAATCTCTGGTCCAACTTAGCTGAAGAAAACCTCAAAATACAGTTATCAAAGCACTAAAATACTTTATTTTGTAGAAGAGCTTTTATGTTTTGTTTCGTTTTATTTTGTTTTTGCTTTTGTGCAGGGAAGATGAGGGGAAAAAAGAAAAAGTGAATGCCATTTCTGAACCTGCCTACATACCCTGAAACATTTAGGAATTCATGATTTATGGATTTATGAGTCTTGTCCCTTCTCTGAAATCTTATAGAAGAGCCTGCCTGACCTCTTATCCCTACAACAATACATTACAAGCATCTGAAGGGCAGAGAAAGGACCCACTTTTCTTTTCTCAATATTGTATTCCCAGAGCCATTTAATAGAAATTCAGTAATTTTTTGGTGACTAAAATGATGAATGTGTCAATGCTTGGAAGACAGAGCAGGCTCTCTGGGACAAGAGGTATTAATATATAGAAATAAATGTAGGTCCTTAACATTCCTGAAAGGCACAAGACTTCCAGAGGAGACTCCAACGAAAAAATAAAGTAAATAAAATCAATCTAATGCATATATCTAGCCAAAGAATTCTACCATCCTGACATTTTTGTAGGCTTCCAGAAGAGCAATTGGTTCAGTCACCTCTGTAGCCTGGCTATACATAGAACAAGGATGTACAACTTCCTAGCTTTTTAAAACAAAAAAAAATATTCCAACTAACTCAGGACAGTTGGGATCTAACTGAAGGTCTTGCTGTAAGAATCTAAATGCTCTCATAAAGTTCATAAACAACCACATGTTTTATTTCTGTATCATTTGGGTCTCTTTCAGTTCCAAGGGACTGAAAAAATGCAACCCCAAGCTTCCTTAAGGCAAAAGTGAATTTATTGATATTTATTGATTCATGATGTATGAAAACATGAATCAAGGTAGAACTTGTTTTAGTCACAGCTGGATTCAGAGCTCGAAAACCTCCATCTGGGGTCCAGCTCCCAGATCTGCCTCCCTGAGCCTCGGCTTCATTTTCAGACGTCACATGGTGACAAAAGAAGCTGTGAGCTCACATCCCCATCACACCAAGCCAAGTCCAGTGGAAGAGGGTGCACTTCCTTAATAAGGGAGGCAAAAACAAAAAAAGTCCCAGAACCCTGCCTCTTTGTCTCTGATTGGCCAGAGTGGAGCCACAGACCCCTCCAGCTACCAGGGGGCCGCGGTGCAAGAGTACCGGCGCCCAGACGCAGGTACTGGGTGGTTCCCACAAAACAAACGGGTTTTTGTTCGCAAGAGTCGATGCTGGGAAGCAGAACCACAAATGTCCACTACAAGTTATCATTCGTGGACCCCACTCATGAAAGCTCTCACATATGTTGGTGGAAACAAATGGCATTTAAAAAAAAAAAAACCTTTCAATTTAGGCTCTAAGCAAACTGCAGCCTGGCGGGTGTAACCTCACACCGTGAGTGCAAACGCCTTTCCCTCGCCGGCTGCCGCTGCTCCTCGGTGCCGGGCGCGGGGCCTCGCGGGCGGCCGGCGAGCGGGGACCGCGCCGCGCCCTCCCGCCCCGCGCCACTGCGGGAGCGCGGCGGCGACACCCGCGCGGCGTCCCGCCCGCCTCGCCCGGGTTCGCGCCGGCGACAGCCGCGCGGACCGGCGGGCGGCGGACCCGCTCTCCCGCCCGCGGCGGGGAGGGAAGCGGCGATGGAGGCGGCTCGGCTGCGGCTCCCGCTCCGCCCCTTCCCCGGCGCGCGGGCCGGCGCGGGAGGCGGCGCGCGGCCGGGCGGCCGGAGCCGCGCCGCGGTTCGCGTCGAGTCCCCGCGCGCTCGCGGGCTCGCTGCAGCCGCCGACGGGCCGAGTCGCCGCCGCCGCGTCCGTGGCCCCGGCGCGCCCGGAGGTCGCCCGCGCGCCGCCGTCGCCGGAGCCGGAGCGCGCGCCGCGCGCGCGCCGCGCCGCAGGTAACCGCGAGCACGGGCGCGCCTCGCCGGAGCCTGCCCCGCGCCGCGGACCGCCGACCCCTGAGGCGGCGCCGCAGCCCCGGCAGGTCGACGGGAAGGCGTCGTGAAACTCGCTTTATTTAACCTGCCCTGGTCCTCCCGTTTAACTAAGTTCATTGAGACAGTGGGGAAAAGCCGCCTCCTGGGTGACTCGGTTTGCAAATTAACCCTGAAAGTTTTTCAGGGTGTGGCCGCTTGCTTGTGAGGGATTCACTAACCTGTTAACTCTCCGGCTACTCAGAAAATCGACATTTGAAATATTCTTTGAGGAACATTGCAAGTTCGCCGCTGCGTTCGGGCCTCGCGTTATTTATCAGCGTAGTTAGCATCTGTCCTCCCGACGCGGCGCCCCGCCGTCCCCGGGCGGCGGCTCTCGCATGTGACACTCTTGCCCTCTAGTGCCTCGCCGGCTTGGTAGCAGGGCGACGGCTAATACTAATACAATGTTACATAACGGGAGGGCGCTGGGCCCCGGCTGGTGTTGCTGCCACTTGTGAAGCCAAGAAGCCTGAGCCGATGGCAGCAGATGCTACCGTTTCAGTTTCTTTTCCATCCGTCGAAACTTTCTGAAGCATTTTCAGCATTTTGAACTTTAATTCCAGGTAAGTGTATTGATTTATTCATTTATGCTATGCATTCATGCCTCGTGCATTAACGTAGGGGCTTTTAGTAAGAGATGACAACTTTAACAATTCAAGGATTTCAGGATTGAACAAGTGCTCCATTTTATTCTTGAAAAATGAAAAAGAGCATCTTGATTAAATTAGGTGAAACAAAGGAATGTCTTATTCAGGGAAAAATTCGAAGCTTCTTTTTCATAAGATTAAAGTACTAAGGAGATGACTTCTCGTAGTTGTTTAAGATCTTCACCGACAACTTATAATTATTCTGCAGTAGATTTGTTAAACAGACCACGTCTGTTGCCTTGGCAGAATTTTGTAAGCAACATGAGAGATTTAAAGTAACTACCTGCCCATCCATGCAGTAATCGTCCACAACAAAGCTTTCTATTTGATGCAGTTTATTTTAGAAACATTATTTAAAATTATAGAATTAATAAAATTATATGTAACTGGAAAGAAATGGTCAGCCTCAGTGTTGAATGCTTTAAATTAAAAGAAAATAGATACATCTTCTGTTTAATATATTCACTTGGAGGGTACAGGGAAGAACCAAGTTACATTCTTGAAGAGATTTATCTATATCATTTTCCATGTAGATATTTTTCTAATATCTGGATACTGTTTAAGCCCGAAAGTCATTGAAAGTTGAAAATGTATCTATATTCTTTACAAACATATTGGGATATAGCAACATATATAATCTGGAAGAGTTTTGAAAAAAAAACACTTGAAAACAATGTAAACAGATGCATTCTTAACATTGTATTAAAGTACAAATCAGATGTTCAGACATGTGTGAAAGTGATCTTGGACCTACTCTTTTTTTGCACTTAGAAAATATCACATTTCAACTCATGGACAATGCTGTTCACCACAAGAGAGCAGAATGGTAGGGAAGAGAAACTCTCAAATGTCTGATTTGAAGCTGAAGGAAATTTTTTCTTTTTTCTACAACCATAGTTCATATCAATATCATATTTGAGAAGAAGATTGCAAAAATATATTGGAAAGAGACTCCTTTTTAAAACAGTACTGAACATATAAAGAGGCTTGCCCTAACAGTAGCTTTTTATTTTTTTCTTGCTCTAGTTAACACAATGTCTATCATCTCTATGACATGGTTATTGTTTTTCTTTATGGTCTTGATGGTAAGACACAAGACTTGTTTCTTTATGTAAATAAATGTTAATTTTAAACTAGTCACATCAGTTAATTTTCTTCATTGTCTTTAAAATGAAGTATTCTCATGGTACTAAAATGTTTTGCATAAAACAAAACTTTTATCTCTATCTGGAGAGATTTGTTTTATTTTAGTTTGAGTTATAGTATACCTTCTCTTTTAAGAAATTTTCTTAAGAAAAGTATTATTTCTGGCCTCATGAAGGACATATAGAATAATTTTTGGTATAACTGAAAGATTTGTTGAAAAAATATAGTAGAAAAGATAATAACACATTTGAGGTTCTTTTTCTGGACCATATATTCTACTGAAGAAGTTATTACAAGCTAGAATCTAAATATTTCATGGTTGACTTGTCATTTCAAAAGTTTAAAACCATAAAGAAATTACAAATTTTTCTTTTAATTCTGGGAATCTGATTATGTGACTTCCTTGAAAGCTGATTGAGTCTTAGCTGCTCTTTGGCGATGAGGTCCAACTTCTAAACTTAAATGTGCATCTGTTGAGGTATAAAATATATTTTTAAAAACTATATTTAAGTACTTTGTGATTTGTATGGTCTGTAAAATTAAAGAAATAGAATTGAAGATGAAAACACTATTTTCAACTAGATGAATGCCTTGGATTTCTAATTGCTTAAGAGTTTAGACAATAGGGCAAACCAGTGGAAGTTTACTTTCCCTGTGCTTTGGCTAGAAAGAGCATTCACACTGAAATGCATGAACTCTGAACACCTGTCCAGATTAGGGGACACTGCCAGGCCACAAAACTAATAGCCTACATTATAATGAAAATTTGTCTGAACAATGCTGAAAACTATTTTATAACTGAAGTTTCTCTTAGCCAAGAATTGGTTTTACAATTTGTTGATTTGTCTGTTTGTTTTGTATAAAAACTATATCCTGGATGTCACAATAAGTGAATTATCCATTCATGATACTCTAAACATTTTTCACAAATTTCATATATGTTACCTGACTGGAAAAAAAGTAGTCAGGCCCTACTACAATTAATGTCCATAGTAAACCATTTCACAGCATCTCCTACAAATTACTGAGGGATATAACTCTTGGTTACCTCCTGCCAAACGAGAGCTTAAAAATCAAATATTGTAGACCTATCTTAAAACGTTTAGGCATCTCAGTGATGAGTATTCATTTCACATACGTTTCATTTTTCAGTCTGTTTGGTTACAATGCCTGAAAATAACATGAAAGTAGACCTGGATTCTAGGCCTGGCTCTTCAGGGAGAGGAGTGGCTGGGACGGCTCCCTGGCTGGCTGGGGGCTTGGTTTCCTCTCCTGTGAGATGTGGATATCAGAGACCGTTTCCCATCCTGTTTGTTGTCCAACATTGTAGAAATTGCTCTGGAAGATAGGACAGATACACATGAAAAACGCATTAGAAAATAAGACAAAACTTGTTGATAAGCGCTATTGTCTAGGTTTCTACTAGTAAAAATGTAAGTGATTAAAAATAACAATTAACAATCATAGAAGAGTTACCTTGTACCAGGGACTGTTCTAAGCACTTTACATACTCATTTATAGCTCATGTACTGTCTATAATGATTATTGGAGGCGAATACTATTCCCATTTCACAAATGAGGAAATTGAGGCACTGAAAGGTGACCTACCTACCTAAGATCACATCCCAGGCAGGTGGTGGAGTTTTATTCGGTTTGAGTCTGGCTCCAACGCACATTTCTGTAACTATCATATCGCATTGTCTCTCTATAGGTTTTCAAATATTTATGCTTGCTACAATGGATGTGATCCATTTCCAGCACTTCTATTTTCACATATGAAATAAGCGTCCATTCACCCAAGAGGTACTTACTAAGCGCCTACTTTTATGCCAGGCATGAAGCAGTGCCCAGAACAATTAAATGTAGTGCTTTCCCTAGTGAAGTATAGACAGTCTAGTTTGGACGATTTCTTTCTCTTCTCCCGATACCCTAATTGGGTTGAATGTCGCTTGTTCGACAAGGTGCCCAAGGTAACAGAGGAAGAATTTATGTGATTTCGTTCATGTACCATAAAGTAGAGAGGAATGTTAGTAGAACCAAGACCTCCAATCTCCTCAGGACTCCCTATCACATTTCTTCATTGTTGCTTTCTGCTCTTTTTTCATCTTTTTTTTTTTGCGGTTTGGTTCCTTTTCTTTTTTTTTTTCTTGGACTTTGCCTTATTCCCCGGCCGGCCCTTGTTTTTTACTTTCCCTTTTCTTGGCCCAGGCAACCCAGGAAGAAGTCGGGTTAACAATCTGTTGTTCCCGCAATTCTGATGGAAGACAGAGATGATAAAGGCTTGTATTAGATCCTCAAAGCTGCGTTGGCAGTAGTCATAATGCCTTGCTGTTAGGCAGAGATCGATGCATACATTCTATTAATAGTTCTGTCTGAGAGTATGGGCAGACATGTCCCCCCTCAGCAGTCGGGTGGTTTCTTCCCTTACCTCACTGGATGGCACGACACTGAGGAAGGTGAACAAAACATAATCTTTCCTTCATAATTTCTAAATAGAAGACGAAGGGAGCATTACAATAGAAACTCATTTTCCATTTAATCTACCAAACAAAGCTAATGCCCCCAAGTGTAGCTTTTCTCCCATGCATCCTTTAAAAATTGCAGTTGTAGAGGCAGAGTGTATTCTTGGTCGTACTCCATGCAAATCAGCTTCTTGTCTGCCACAGCAGAGTTCAATTAACGTGACACAATTTCACACATTCTTTCCTGAAGAAAGGCATGTTCTTTGTCAATTTTTAATATTACAGAATTACTTTTAGCAAATTCACGTAATGTGTTTGAGGGCTACAAATGGATTTTTCAACACTATACAATATAGTTGTGTAGTTCATTCCTTTTTGAGAAAGAGGAATATTGTCAAGATCTTTTAAATATCTTTCATTTATCTTAAAACCTGAAGCTCTTTAGTTATTAATACTCATTTTCCAGATGGTAATCTTTTTTCACATTTCTTAGACTGCCAACTTTAACATGATTCTATTTCATTTAGAAATTGATTTTTACTTTGGGATGATGGTGGGTGTTAGTGGAAGAGAAAAGATAGGTTACATTGACAAGTGAGCACTTCCGCTTGCAGATAGTGCAATACTTTGTGAAATTCACATTTGCATATATTTGGATCTTCACTAAGCATATGGATCTGTGATCCCCAAAACTAATTTCTCCCTCTGCCTTTTGTTAGTGATAAATAATTAGATAATTTCTAATGTTTCCTTGGTAGAATCTTTTTAAAAACAGATGTATTGCGGCGAAGCACTTCTATTCACACTGAATTCTGAAAAATCTCAGAATGGGAAAAATAGGTAGTTGAGTAAAAGCAAAAGGCACATTCTAGATGTGCTTGATTTATGACTCTGATCAAGATGGTCACTGCCACTCGCAATGTTTACGTTATTGCCTTGATTATTTGAGGCCAATGTGACTGATGGAGGTATCTGCTCACGGAAGATGGTTTGACTTAAGTATGCCCCAGTTTGTGAATGCAGCTGCTATTTGTAAAACATAGTAGAGGCCTTTTCCCCACTCATTTAGTAAGTATTCCACAGGCTGTTCTTACTCCAAGCACTGTGTGCGCTAGAGGTGAACAGGACAAGAACTTCAGATGTTTCCAGTCTATGTAGAAAAATTAGGCAGAAAATCTCATGACTAATTATAGCTGTGGAACATGCTACAGAGGTAAAGTAGAGAGTGATGTGAAAGTGTGTAACAGGGAGGCCTGACAGATCAGGGGGATCAGGGAAGACGTTTGTGAGACAGGGACATTGATACTT